GCGCTTTCACTTCTTAGTTTTAGTTTTAGTTTTAGTTTTTTTTTGTTTTTTTTTTGTTTTTTTTTGTTCGTTGGCAAAGCCAACGGTCCTTTCCTGTCGTGGCTCCCCCACGACCTGAAATACAGACCCGAGTTCGATCCCATTTGGGATCGGAAAATGTTTTTGCCACTTCTTGATTTATGCGTGTCACCCTTGAAAGCGCAGGGGCCACACTGATCTGCGCGCGACAGATCTCAGTCGCGCGATCTTGATGATCGCGCGGTCGAAATCGGTCGCGCCCAACTACCTTGGGCTGCTCCAAAAGGAGCTAGCCCGGTAGGATGCTTGCAACTGGGCTTGATCCCGGTATCCGTCGGGTAAGAGTTAAGTGCTATATCATACTTGGTTAGCTCCTATCACGACAACTCTTCTATATGAAGAGCTTGCCCAGTCACTTCTCCCCATGTCGTGGCCTTGCAGGCCCTGCCTGCCTGCGGCTCCGTAGATCCCGCCTGCCTGAAACCTACTAGGCTTTGCTGGCATGCCTTGCCCCGTCGGTTGGCCGCATGACCTCGGCATTGGCCTATCAACCCCCTGGCTCGATGTCAACCCCCGTAGCCCAGGAAATAAAAAAAAAACTTCTTCATATTCCCCTTGCGCCGCGAACCTATACCCGGCGCACCCCTCGTTTTAGCCTACTTAAAATAGTCAAGTTTCAGTTTTTCCACGACCACGTACCCCTGCGGCGCTATCGGGAACCGTGGACAACAGGTCGTACCGCTGACTCCCGCTGTTTCAATCGGACGACAACGATGTCAGGTTCTTAAAAAGTTTAAGTCTCTCAGTCATAGGGTTGGTCTGAATAAACTTTGGCAACATCAAGCTCATTAAGTCCCCCATCCAACGAAAAGGGTCGGACAGTGTCCAACACGAATCTCTCAATTCAACAAAAAGATCGAACAACGTTCGATCTTAAAAAACTTGGGCAGAAACCCTCACAGGGGTTTCTGTCCCGACAACGTCACTCCAGAAACAACTGTCTTTTCAGAGGGGAATAACTGAATGTGAACCATTGAAAAGTCAAATAAGGAAACAGATACACCGACAGTATTTTCAAGTTTTTTTCCCCAGGGCTTGAAATGCCCCTCGTCTGCCCCCTCAAAAAAACAGTCGTAGGCCTCTGTGACACTACAATACAAAGGTAACATTGGAGGGATCACGTAAGCAAGCTCACCCATCTGACCCCTTTGTGGCCCCAAAACATTAATTTAATATGATGCGGTCCGATGGACACGGATCGGATGTTAAACTGACTAGAACAGAAACTATACTTGATCTTAGCCAAAAGGTCAAGGAAGGTATCGCGGGTCTCCTTTTAGTTGGTGCTGCCAACCATTTTGCTCAAGCAACCAGCCCCTGGAAGTTGCAGTGTGCATGCAACCACGTCGGAGAAAATGAGTGGGAAACATACTGGTGGTAAAACCACTAGTACACGGCCTCAACCTTGCAGAAATAAACTCGTTCCCACCACCACAACTTTTGGAGGAAGACCGTCGTTGATAAATTTCATCAACGGTCTTTGTTGCGTTTCTGACCTCTGAAAGTCATGGTGAAGGGGGCGCGACTGATATATGGTCGTGTAGTGGTGGTTTAACAATAATGGTAAATTGGCAGAAACAGGGAATACTTATGTTCTTGAAGACCTGGACCAAACGCAATCAATTGGCAGCAATGTCACTGAAACATAAATTTGTACAAGGCTCTTGGGTTGTGTGTTATCTGTCAACAGGGGAACTTGAAGTTTTAGTTGGTAGTGCGTTATAACTGCTAGTATGTAGGAAACCTCTGTTGCAGTGGGCCAGATTTGGCGACATATTCATGTGAGGGGTTATATGATTAGTAGTTTGTTTAGTAAGTTTTATTTGTGTTTTATTTCAAATTTATTTATTGATGAATGAGAGGTTTGACCTTGATTCCAGTTGAGCTAAACTTGGGTGAGGGCCCCAGTTTACTCCCAACTGGATAAGTGTGTTCCTCGTCCTCGTTGTCATTGTTTTGCAGTAAATGTACAGATAAATAACATTTTGATAAAAAAAAATTGTATTATTTGAAATGGGGTTGACATCGGGGACCTCACAATTCAATTCGGAAATACTGGGGCAATCACCCAATTCAACTTATCATAGAAACCGGGTTTTTATTCTGATCATTTTCAATGTCAAAACTTTTCAAAATGAAATATTGAAACTCCATTACGATTATACCTTCTTTTATTTTTATCGGTTGTCTCACGTTTTTTAATCAATTAAGCAAAATTCACGGTCTCTACAACCCGAACGAATTTGGCACCTTGGCTATGAATCAAAGTACCCATTGGTATATATGCTAATTGTACACAATTTCCCAAAACTTGCTCCAAGTTCCCAAAGTTATACACATTATTCATAACTGGGCTACTTGTTTTTAATTTATCACAAGCTAATATATAAGTAAATATTGTAGATGTTGTTTGATGTTGGTGCCTTATGCACGGAAAAACAACGACAAAACCCTCGTGAAGCGACCGACTTCGCTGAGTTTTTTTGATAGGGGAGACAATTTTGAACCTGGTGAGCATTACGAAGTCGACACAAAACTTTTCCAGTATAGAATAGCCAACGCAATTTGGTGGTTAGACGTGTGATCCCCATGTGGGCAATGACTGATTGCATATCACGGTCCAAAAACGCACCACATACTCAATTCAAGTAAAAAATTATACGGCGGAACTGGTGAACCATTTGAATCTTTTTTCAAATGGGCAGAGGGTTTGTAGTACCTACCACACTTCGCACCTACCGACAGAGGGGAAGAAACCTAAATCGACGATTTTAGACCTTGAAACCAAGCACGACATATACTTTAGAGTTAAGGATACTTCTTTGTGTGTTGTACGCTCGACGAATGAGACTGTTTAGCCAGATTGCACGCACTGCTTACCCTATCCATTGGGTTGTTGGTTCCAATCCAACGTAGAGAGTTGTTCTGTGTTCACATATATCGATGGACATATATTTTATTCTAATCTAATTTAATTAGATTAGAGACGTTGTACAAACGCGTTGTTGCTTGCCTATCCACCTGCACTAATTACGATTCCGACTATCGGAGATAATGGGGATAAATGACCATCAATATATTTTCCATTTGGAATAAATTTAGTTTGACGCAAAAGTCGTTTAAAATATATAACGGATTTAGTTGCGTTAGCATTGACGAATCCTACAACCAATCGGCCTTGTGCACTTGGGGAAGCACGCGAATGCACGATGACCTTCGACCTTCACCCTGTTGTTAGGCAAAACCAGCAAGGCCTTAGTCGGAGTGGTGATATACTACATGAGGGAAGATCGCTTATCGTAAAAGTCGTCAACTCAACTGCTGGAATGCCTTCAAAACTGGTTCACTGGAATAAGATAGAGGAAAGCGGAATTTTCACAGTTTGGTACGATTGTGTACACGACTATAACTTGAATAATTACAAACATCTTGTAGAATATGACCAAAGATATAATGATTGCGTTAGATACTCATTTTTGGGCAAATTTTATTTTCAGACTACCAGAAAACGAAATTATGTTTTCGTCAGAATTTGTCAATCCAATAATGATGAAACCGATTATGGTTTTCAGGGTCACCCTTTACAAAAAAAAATTTTCCCTTAAGTGGACACGTGGAAGTACGATACGATGATTCATAGAAACGTGTGATTTATGAACCTATTGAAATAACTCACGCATTTCATTTTTTTTTTATGGGTCATCGTTAAAGATGAAAGGAAAAAATCATTGTTTAACTGCTGGTACACCACTTATTTCTTCATTGACCAAGTTTAGAACGAATTCATAAAATCATTTCAACAAAAAGATTGCCAAGCATTAGGTACTAAATGAAATCCATTCATGGTAGAATCTACCATTTTCATAGGCGGAAAACCTTTCTATTCATTAAATTCATAATCCAGACCGTATACCTTTCTTGGCCTTTTGGCTAAGATCAAGTGTAGTATCTGTTCCGATCAGTTTAATATCTGATCCGTGGTCCATTGGGCCAAAAAAAAAAAAAAAAAAAAAAAAAAAAGTCCAACCGTTCAGACAATAATGAAAATCCAAGGCGTTAGATCTCTTAAACCACCAGTACTTGGCCCAGCTATCGTTGCCGAGCCTGGAATCCCCCTGTGCGCCAATATTTGCTGGAGTGCCAGGGTTCCGTTTCAAATTTTTTTGGCTGCCATTTCCAGCCATTGAGGTCGGCACCCCGAAGCCCGAACTTTGCGTAGCGTTAACGGCAACGGCCCGCGGCCAATGTATGGGCCAAGTACTGGTGGTTTAACCCATGGAAGTGGGACCTCCCCCCTGTGCATCCCTCCCCCTCTTGCACCTAGGTAGTAGGCCCAACCTGGCAGCTGCTCTCCATGTGCCCGGGCTCGGCCCGCGGCCATTTCACACTCTTCTGCCGGTATGGCACTGGAATTCTTTGTCTAAAACGGGTAGCCCATATTCATCTGGTAATGATTCGAACCCATGACAGGGTGACAAAGGGTCGTTGCAGCTTGACAGAAGTCATTCAGGGCATACTCACACCGGGACTTTTCCGGCTGCCTTCTGGACGTAATTGCGGTCAGATGCGTCTACGACGGGCCGTAATTGCAATCAGAGGCGTCCAGGACGGACCCTAATTGCCGCCACATACGGACAGGACAGATACATCTTCACCCGAATACAACGCTCGGTCATTATCACCGTATCTAGATGGAAGTTTCCGCCAAATACAGGAACAATGACCGGGCGTTCTATTCGAGTGAAGACGGTAGTGTGAATGTGTTCCCACGTGCCCCCAATGAAAGCTGACGTAGTCATACAAAACGATCTTAGGGCCTCGCCACACCACTCACGAAACGTGAAAAAGACAAAAATGTGGCTGCCGCATCTGGCCATGTTCTAGCGGGAAGTTCATTTTCATTTTGCACACTTCCAGAGTGGTGTGGCGATGCCCTTAGCCAAAAACAGCCGCGCGCTCTGACAACAAGCTGCCATCGCCCGTGATCGTCTCTCTCCTCCTTCCGTCACCATCCCTCCAATCGCATCAGGCAGAACCAGAGGCACATACATCTGTGGGGGCCCGAGAGAGAGAGAGAGAGAGAGAGAGAGAGAGAGAGAGAGCAGCGATGGCTGGGCCGATCCAAGCAGCACTTCACATAGGAGTGCCTGAGTATGCAGTCGGGATCGGAGTGAGAGAGGGACGGGGTGGGATAAGCAGAGCACGCGCTGCAGGGAACGACCATGGAGCCGTGTGCCATTTCCTATTACCAATGTCTAAGGTGTCGCCCTCGGTTAAATTTCCCGCCTCTGCCTCCTCCTCGTCAATCTTGGCATCTTCTTCTCTCGCCTCCTTGATTGCCCCCTCTTCTTCGTCGTCGTCATTATTGAAGGTTGTCTTTGTCTCAGCTGGTTATGGCGGACACAGCGAGGACGGCTGCTGCATTTGGTCCAATTTTGGAATGGGGAGAGGGAGGTGGAGGGAGGAGGGTAGGCGGTCCTGTCGCAGGACAAGTTATGACCATCTTCTGGCGCGGCGATATGGGCGCGAAAGTTTGCGCTTCCCGCCATTGCTGACAGGCTTATTTTCTGGGCGACGGGCGGCGCGAGGGATACGGAATATGCCACGTCAGCGCAGACCTGTCGCAGTCTCATCAGATAACACCGTTCCTAATTTGGATGACGTGGAGCATCTCCGCGACTGGCTTGGTGATATACAGGTATCGTCGGACATGGGGTAGATATCTCATGTTGCTCTCCTCTGTGTACACCTTTCTCTTCTGCGTGTGTCCTCCCCTCCACTTTCTCCCCTTCACCCGCTCTCCCCCCCTTCCCCCCCCCCTTTCCCCCCCTTTTCCCTGCCTTACTCCTTGCGCTGCTCCGTCTGTTCCCTCTCCCCCTTCTTTCCCCTCTTCCTGGCCTACTCCTTGCACTGCTCCGGCTGTTCCTTGTCCCTCCTCCCTTCCCCTCCCCCCCCTCCCCCCCACCCCTCTGCCTCACGGTACTTGTGCACCATCGCTCACTGGACTTCCTCCCGCCTCCTGGGGCGTCTCCTCCATGATTCTCCCTTCCACCTCCTGGCGCGTCTCCTCCATGATTCACCTTCCCTCCTACTCCCGCGGCTCCTCCTGCGTTTCCCCCGTTTGCTCACTAATTCCCTCCCGCCTACTCCCGCGGCTCCTCCCTGTCTCAATTCCGACTGCCTTTCCCTCTTTGGCAGTGACCATAGATAACGACGAAGATGGAAAGGTCAGTACTTCTTAATCCGTGCTACCGGTAGTGGGGGAATCGACCTCCTGTCGGGGGGGGGACGCTAATCGATGGAGTTGTGGTATTGCGCTGGCATGCCGTCGATCCCTTGCCCTCAACGTGTTCCTCTTCTTGTTTCGTCTCCTCTCGTTATCCTTTGTCCCTTTGTGGAATGTGGGGCGCTCCAACCGTTTTCACCCCGAACACAACGCACCCTCATTTTGGCGGCACCGGACCGGAAAGCTAGCTTGTATACATTCGTTATCAGGGTGCGTTGCCTTCGGGGGGAAGATGGTAGTGACAGTTTTGCTGTGGACGCGGCACAGATGGAATTACAACCGACGCATACCTTTCTCGGCCTTTTGGCTAAGATAAGGGCCTCGCTCCACTACATAACACTCTACATGCATTTGGATGCTTATTGACGGGATACATTCATAACCTTGGAATCGTCTGAATGCACCTGGTCCCTAAGGCGTCCAAATGCATGTCCAAATGCATGTACAGCGCTGTGTACTGGAGCCAGGCCCCAAGTGTAGTATCTGTTCTGATCAGTTTAATGGGCCTCGCTGCACTACTCTAGACTCTCGAAATATTTTGAGAGTTCGACTCTAGACTCTCGAAATATTTTGAGAGTTCGACTCTAGACTCTCCAAATATTTTGAGAGTTCCACTAGTATTGTCAGCGAGGTGCGACTCTCCAAATATCCGCCTTCACTGCACTTACTCTAGAACCTGTGACACTAGATCAACTCTGGAGACCCTGGGCTGCACCACTGCGCTACGGGACAGAGTCTGGCCGCCGGGACAGGAGGTCCACTCTCGAAAAACGAGCCTGTGGGCGGGCAACTCCCGAGGACACTTGCAAATTCGGTTTTTGCAGGTGGGAGACTCTCGACATTTCGAGAGTGGCCTTGTAGCATGGCATCTGACAGCTCTCTATCCGGTTTCGAGAGTTTCCCGATCGAGAGTAAGTGCAGCGAAGACCCACTCTCAAAACTTTGAGAGTCTAGAGTAGTGCAGCGAGGCCCAAGATCTGACAAAAACACTATATAAAAAGTAGCCGGACGGCAGTCGGGAGTCCCTGCAGTAACCAGACCCAGAATCTGACGGACAGATGCTGCAGACCCAGAATCTGACGGACAGATGCTGCAGACCCAGAATCTGACGGACAGATGCTGCAGATCCAGAATCTGATGGACAGAATATGACGGACAGATGCTGCAGATCCAGAATCTGATGGACAGATGCTGCAGATCCAGAATCTGATGGACAGATGCTGCAGATCCAGAATCTGCCTGTGTACATTCCAACGGGACTGATGAAGGTTCCATGACGGAGCGTGCTTTTCTCAATGCACTTGATTTTGCCCATCATCCGATGGGGGAATCCTCGTCGAGGGTGAGCGGCGTAGCGGGGGGTTATAAGGCAGATAAGTACTGTCCAGGAGGTCATGGGCTCAACTCTTACTGCCCTCATGTACCTACCTTGGCATACTTAGCGCCCACCGTCTATCAGGAGAGAGTCTGTTGGGCCCCGCGATAGGCATTGATACAGAAAAGAGCTCGAATCTACCTGAAAATAGATGTAGATGAATGAAATAACATAATTCTGAATTAGCTGGGGTTCGTCTGTTTGACAATAATGTCTCAAGGCCGTCCCCTTTTCACCAGTACTTTCATAAGGGACGCTGGGCCCGGTTCCCAGCACGTGCTGCTCCCCATGAATAGATTGGAGAATTGTTCTCAGGAAAAAAAAAAGGCCCTTTTTTCGCCAAGCCGGGAAACACCGTCCGCGTGAAAAAGAACCAACCTGCCATTTTTGTTTCTGGGCGGGGCGGCAGGCATTTAGCTGCGGCCCTGAAACCACCTTGGAGAAAAATGGCTGGGAAAAATACTGGTGGTTTAAAGCACCAGTACATGGGCACCTGGGCCGCAGGCCTGACACCTCAAATTCTGGAGGTGCGAAACGAAAACACGACCGCGTATCGAATTTATCAATGATGGGCCCAGTGTTTGACGTTTTGGCCTCGTTTTCTTGTGGTGACAAGTTTCGGTCTGCAAGGCTGGGGCCCCGTGTTTGCAGCCCTAAGGCTGCGGTCTATTGGGGTTGGGCGTCTGTGTCAAGGTGTCCCATTTTCGGCGGCGGGCGACCAGGACGCAAAGTGGGTTGTTAGGGGGGGGGGAAATTCTGGGGACCAGTCCTTGATGAAATTGCGGACCACCTACAGCTAGCTCGGATAGAACCAGGACTTTTAGAAAAAGGAAGGACCGGTCCTCGGGTGGAGCTGGACCCCAAAAAGAAGTGGGGGGTGTTGGACTGGTCCTCGGCTAGAAGCGGACCCCGAAAAGAAGTGAGGGCATGTGAACTGCAAAAGGGGCCCTCAGGCCCAGGCGTTGAGGCCCGTCTTCTCAAAACAGGGATGTCAGGCACAACGAAACAGACGTTTTGCAAGAGGCAACCTTGGCGATTTTCTGTGCTCGGACGAACCTGCAGAAAAATCTGAAATTTTGAGAATCCATAGACGAGGTCGTGTTCTTTCCAGGAATAATATTAGAGCATTTTCAAAAAATCATTTAGACTGCGAAATAATCGTCGCGCCGATTCGGCACACTTTCCATTTTTGTCACTCAGCCATGTGTAGGCCAACTAAAAAAGTACTCCGAATTCAGTGAGTTTTGGCGCTCGGAAGAATGTGTGAAACACCTGAAAATTGGAGTACTCGTAGATTTTGCTGTGATCTTTCGAGGAAAAACGCTCAATAAAAAAATAAATATCATTCCAACTGTGAAATACATCGCGGCCTCTATTTGACCCATATTTCAATTTTGCCATTCAGCATCTCTCTCTCTCTCTCTCTCTCTCTCTCTCTCTCTCTCTCGCTCGTGTGCGCTCTTAGTCTCACTGCTTTGGCTACCTTAGGGTTGCATTCCCCGCGCCCACGCGGTAGACAATACTTGTTGTGGCTTAAACCTCCAATACTTGGAGGTGTTGTGGCTTAAAGCTCCAGTTCGCAGCCCTAAGGCTGTGGTATACTGGGCTTCGGCGTCTGTGTCAAGGTGTCACATTTTTGGTGGCGGTCGACCACGATGCAAGTGGGTTCTTAGAGGGGGGAGAAATTTGGGGGACCGGTCCTTCAAGATATTGTGGACTATCTATAGCTTGCTCTTCTAGAACTGGGACTTCTCGAAAAAGGAAGGACCAGTCCTCGGGTGGAAGTGGACCCCAAAAATAAGTGAGGGCATGTGAACTGCAAGAGGGCCCGCAGGCCCAGGCGTTGAGGCCCGTCTAATTAAAACAGGGAGGTCAGGCACAACAAAACAGGCGTTTTGCAAGAGGCAACTTTGGCGATTTTCTGTGCTCGGAGGAATCCGCAGAAAAATCTGAAATTTTGAGAATCCATAAATGAGGTTGTGTTAGCCTAGCTCAGTGGGTACACCCATGAACTGTTGAAAATACAGACCCGTGTTCAAATCCAGATGATAGAACTTGATAAGTAAAGTTGTAAAACCAACTATTTCTGAATTGCCTGGGGCCGGTCAGCTTAATGATGATATCTTAAGGCTGTCGCCCTTAAAAAAAAAAAAGAAAAAAAAAAAGGTCATGTTATTTCCAGGAAGAACATCATAACACTTTCAAAAAATCATTTAGATCGCGAAATAATCGTCGCTCCAATTCAGCACATTTTCCGTTTTTGCCACTCAACCATGTGTGGGCCAACTGAAAAAGTACTCCAAATTCAGTGAGTTTTTGCGCTCAGAAAAGTGCGTGAAAAAACCTGAAAATTGGAGTACTCGTAGGTTTTGCTGTGATCTCTCCAAAAAAAGCATTCCAACTGTGAAATAGATCGCGACTGCAATTTGACCCGTATTTCAATTTTGCCATTCAGCCTCTCTCTCTCTCTCTCTCTCTCTCTCTCTCTCTCTCTCTCTCTCTCTGTGGTACCTCCCCTCCCCTTTCCCTCTCTCTCTCTCTCTCTTTCTTTCTCTCTCCACTCTATCTCTCTCTCACACTCATATCAATAAATGGAACA